TGAACACTTCTGGTCTACTTTCACTGCCTTGTTCAATGGTAAGAAGCTTGGGAATGCAAAGAGTAAAAGTGTTGAAAGGGCATGGAATTAAATGTTCCTATATCTTAGTGACCATATAGCAACTCAAAATTTACTAAATATAAATGAAAGTTCATTCTTCACTTACTTTGCATTTGGATCTTTCCACATTTGGGATTAGCTACATGAAAATGAGACAATTTGTAATCCCATGTACTATATTTATGTAATATTTTCAATGCATCCTATTTCTAAGAAGTGTGAAGAAGCAACTATGAACATCCATGTAAAGTTTGGGTGTGGTGGTATTGTGTTCCCCAAAATATTGTGTACTCTAATAAATTTATCTGGGGTCAGAGAACAGACAGCCACTAGATACAAAGGCTAGAAAATGGTGGCACTCACACCTTTAATCCTAGCATTCCAGAGATAGAAATCCCTCTGGATCTCTGTGAGTTCAAGGCCACATTGGAAATAGCCAAGCATGGTGACACACGCCTTTAATCCCAGAAAGCCAGCCTTTAATCCCAGGAAGTGGTGGTAGAAAACAGAAAGATATATAAGGCGTGAGGACCAGAAACTAGAGGCATTTGGCATTTGGCTCGTTCAGCATTTGGCTGGTTAAGCATTCGGCTGGTTAAGCTTTCAGGCTTTGGAGCAACACAGTTCAGCTGAGATTCATTGGGATGAGGACACAGAAGCTTCCAGTCTGAGGAAACAGGACCAGCTGAGGAATTGGCAAGGTGAGATAGCTGTGACTTGTTCTGTCTCTCTGATCTACCAGCATGAACCCCAATAACTGGCCTCGGGTTTGATTTTATTAATAAGAACTTTTAAGAATCCTTCTACATTTGGGTGTGTGTTTGTATGAGCACATACTCTCATGTCGATCTGTACATATCAAAGGGAGTAATCATAGTCTCACACTATATATAGATTTACATTTATGGTCTCCAACAATAACTGTGTTGGGAACTCACTTTTCTGGACTCATGTACATGTGTAGAGGACTCTAGAGCTCAAAGAAGGCCATGGAGAGGATGTCCAGTGTCCACATTTTAGACCTGGATGGACCTCAGCTGGGAGCCTGACTCTGAAGTGACATATCAGAAGCAGGTCCCAACACAAGAGTAATCCTGTTTTGGGAGTTGTGCAGTTGTGCAGGTCATAGGTGGTGCTCACACCTCAGCCAGGGCAGGAACATGAGGAGTAGATGCATAGAGCAGACAGCAAGGGAGGTCCAGGATCCATCAAGGTTTCTTCACCTCACTTAACCACATGTTACACAGTCAATCAAAATCCAGAAGACCATTGCTTACTGAGCTGTACTGTTTTCCTGGAGGACCCAAAGCAGAAGTAACAACAGGTAAATTTAGTTATTTCCTTTAACATAAGTCACTCTCCCAGGTATATAACAGAAATAGAGATGTCACAACCCACAGGACATTTAGTCACTATGAAGACAATTTTTCTCATAATAGAATGAAGTATTCAACTGAAAAATTAGAAAACAATGCCTTTTCTCATGGAGGGAACTATTACAACTCTCTTAATCTTGAATGATATCCTATGGCCACTATGGAAATGTGATGTCATCAGGTGGACATGAGAAAGTGGAAACATTAGAGCAAGATCTCCCCAGAGTCCAGGCTGCAGACTCCTCTCCATCCAGTGATGATTACAGACATAGGACCTGTGCCTACGTAGAAGACAGTAAATAGTGACTTGATTCCTAAGGATGTTTCAACAAACATACCCCACACACAATCATCCAAAAATATATGCAAGCAGAGGTTTTCCAATTATTTATATTATTAATCAAACTGAATTTATTTAATTAATTTTCTTCAGTCTTCTGCATCTAAACCAGGGCTCTATGTATGTTAGACTACCAAGCTATATCTCCAAATCAATTTATTAATTTGGAGATATGAATTCAACATTCACTAAATTTTCAATTTCTTATCTGGCACATGTAAATATTTTATTTTTTGTGAGGCAGAAAAGGCAAGAAGAAAAGTTTTATGGGTAAAATTCATAAACACGTGATAGTTTAACATAATTGTTGCTGCCAGTTCTTTTATTTCATGTCTGTTATCTGCAGTAGACCTGATCCTTTAAGCTTCTACTCCAGAATTCCCAGATGGTTCTTCCTCAGCTCATGAACACCAGTCCAGCCCTGAACCTGCAGCTCTGGAATTCCCAGGTTTTCCCATCCAGTGATCATCAATGAACACAGACCACTCACCATGGAGTTGGGGATCAGCTGAGTTTTCCTTGTCTGTGTTTTAACGGTTAAATTGTGGAGAGTAAGATATGCTGAGTGTGTGAGTAGACATGACTGATAATGAGTGTGAACACATGTGACAGCTAGCTTCCTGACCAGGTTTCTCTGTGTTTGCAGGCGTCCAATGTAAAGTTCAGAAAGTGGGGTCTTAGGTGGGCTTGGTGCAGCCTGGGGCTTCCTGCACTCTCTTGTTCAGCCTTTGCATTCACTTTTAGTAGCTACTGGATAATCTGTGTCTGCCAGACTCCAGGGAAGTAGCAAGAGTGTGTTTCAGTGGTTACTGATGGTAACAGCGAGAACCACCCAGGCTCTGTGAAGGGCCACTCTCACTGGCTCCAGAGACAATTCCAACAATGCTTTCTATCTATCTCCATTGAACATTTGAGATCTGAAGACACTGCTGTGTATTACTGAGCTAGAGGCACAGTGAGGGGACTTCCGTGTGAGTCCAGATATTAACCACTCCACTGATTTGCTCTCTGCTTTGTGTTTGCATTTGAAGAGGTGAGCTCTCAGCTTCCTGCTCCTGCCATCATGCCTTTATATGCAGAAGCCTCCTTACAGAGCCACCCAGAAGACTGGATCAATTACCAGGTACTAAGTCTGGGAAGGGTTTCTTCTTAAGGTCTGAATCACCATCCTCAGAGACATAGAATCTACACAAGGAACAGTGACAAGGAAGAAAAATAGATAAGTAACAGAATTGAGGAAGGGAGGGAAAGCACAGAGAGAGAGAGAGGGAGAGGGGGGGGAAGAGAGAGAAAACAAACATAAGGTGATATATGTGGAAAGTATTTGGGTAATATGATCAAAATACATTTTATGACAAAATTAATAAAAAATAGAAAATAAAAATAAATTCAAGTCTATGAGGCTAATAATTTTTTATTTAGTTTTGTTGCAGCTGAAAGACATTCAGTAAACAAATTTCTAGCCAAGGATTTGTCTGCCCTTAGTTCTACATCTAGAGCCTCAATTGATTCATGTTATCATGATAAAAAAACACACCCCTGCATCATCAGCTGTCTTGGCTAAGAACAAGTCTCTCTCTATAGAACACTAGGCACCAGATCCTTGAAATAATCCTGGGGAAACATCAACTGAAAATTTCCCTGATGCTTTGCTCTTATCACTTCTAAACTAGCTGAAATAAAATTGATCATTTTCTTTTATGAGGTTATTCCTGGGGTTATTGAATTTATATATTTAAATGCTTTCAATTCCTAAGAAATATGAGGCCAATGCAAACATCTGTGTTCATTTTTATGTGCAAACACTTCCATTTCAGTCTGTTACACACCTATCAGAATTACTCCTAGAGTATTGTCCAGCTAGTCTTATGAGAAGAAAGCCACTGAGATGGCAACATCTACATGTGCAAGGAGCACAGAGCTCAAGAGAAGCCATGCAGCAGAAGTCCATATCCACACTGTAGTCCTGGGTGAGTCCTACATATCAGCTGGACTCTGGTTTTGGCGCAAATCCAGACAAGATCAACCTGATGCAAGAGGAATGCAGGTCAGCGGGTGATGCTGGCACCTGAGCCATTCAGGTTTCCAAGATACAGGTGTCAACAAGAGAAAGCAAGGGAGATTGCTACATCTATCCAGAGTTTCCTCCTCTCACTTGCCCACATAAAATTCTGTTAAATATTTGAAGCCCATAACATAAATTATTTGATCATCTAAGGACCAAAGCAGAAATGACTTCAGATCATCAATTCACTGCATTTAGTGGCTTTAATGAGGTCTCTTTACCTGGGAATGCCACAGAAACAATAATGCCACAATCCACAAATCCTCTTAGCAATAGCAAACCCACTTTCTCTAATAGTAGAATTGATTACTCCATTGAACAATTAGGACCCAATTCTCCTTTCTAATACTGGCGTAGCTATTCCATGGGTCCTTTTCTTCAGACTGATCCCACAGCCATGAAGGAAGTCCTACATTCTCATGGGAATTAGGGAGATGGGAGGATGAGAATCCATGGCACTACAGACCCAGCAACAGACTGCTCTCCTTCCTGTGGTAACCACAGACAAGAAACATATACTTAGTTTGGGGAAATTAAAATGATAATGACATGACTCCCAAGGTTGTTGACTAACACACCCAAACATAAGCATACAATATATATGAACAAAAGTTTGTTATGTGTTTTTATTATTTTCTTAAACAATAATCTCTGGTAGTATCAATGCTTATTTAATATATATTTTATCTTTTCAATAATGAGGATAAATCTTGGGACATTGTGAGTGTTACACTCTCCCACTGTGCTATGTCCTCAGTTCAGTTTTGTTAGATTAATTTATTGTATACTTTCACTATTCATCGAACTTTATATTAATTCCCCTGAAATTATAAAACTGTGATTTTTAATTCAAAACTTCCTATGAATTTTTTGTAAAATATCTGGTAGGTAAGACAATAAAGAGTAAGTGTGGAACAAGAACACAAATAAAAATATATTAAAGCTGTTGGAGTTTTATGACAAATACAAAATGAATGACATTTTAATGAAGCCATGCTCACTTTGCTACTTCATTTTCTCTCAGACATTTGCACCATTAACTGCTGCCCCAAAGGCTCCCACATCAGACCATAAGATATGCAGGAAGATATGCAAATATGGCCTTCTTCTGCTCATGAAAAGCAGCCTTGCCCTGACCCTGCAGTTCAGGCAGAGAACTCTAGCCCTGTCTTCCCATTTGGTGATCAGCACTGAAAACAGAACAATCAACATGGGATTGGGACTGCACTGGGTTTTCTTGGTTGTTCTTTTAAAAGGTAGATAACAAGGGACACTGAATGTATCAGTAGACATGAGAGAGACAGACAGTAGATATCTGTGACTGTTTCTTGATCAGGATTCTTTCTGTTTGCAGGTGTCCATTGCGAGGTGCAGCTGGTTGAGTCTGGTGGCGGATTGGTACAGCCTCAGGGGTCATTGAAACTCTCCTGTGCAGCCTCTGGATTCACCTTCAGTGACTATGCAATGTCCTGGGTCCGCCAGGCTCCAGGGAAGGGTCTTGAATGGGTTGGTCGCATAAGAAGTAAAAGTAATAATTATGCAACATACTATGCTGATTCGGTGAAAGGCAGATTCACCATCTCCAGAGATGATTCCCAAAGCACGGCCTACCTGCAAATGAACAGTCTTAAAACTGAGGACACAGCCACGTATTACTGTGCAAGAGACACAGTGAGGAGTCTTTACTATGAGCCCAGACAAAAACCTCCCCGCCAGGTACCCATGACCAGCAGGGGGCGCTCAGCACACATAAAGCCCAGGTGCAGACATACTTGATACTTTTCTGTGTTATCTGGGCACCCACTCCACCTGATGGTTTTTTTTTTTTTTTTTTTTTTGTGATCTTCTTTATAATTATATAGTATAGAAATTGGTTTAAAAAGAAAAAAAATAAAAAGTCCTTTTCTTGAGTGACTTTTTAAAAACAATATGTCACCTTGTCTCTCCCTTGAACAAAATACAGAAAGTATCTATGAGAGCAAGATTGATTCTCTGTGGCCACCAAGATCAGCTGCTGGGGAAACTCAGGAACCTCGGATAGACTTCTCCCTCATACTAAGGTTACTGTAGACCCTCGATTGGAACAGTGTTATTAATTCAAGGGATCCAAGTGGAAGGTGCCAGGCTCAGTCTCAGGTAAGCTCTGAGTTGTCCAACCCCCTCTCCTCTTCTTGAGGACGGTACATATAAGGCTAATAAGTGATAGAACTGAATTTATAATAAAATTCTTTCCATTACTGCATTTCATCATTGTCTCTTCTGTTTTTCTGTTCAATGAGATAATTCTAGTTCTGACCTCTGTGCACTAAACTCAGATCCCAGCCCCTCATCAGGAGCTAAAGGATGGCTTACAGTGTGGTCTAAGCAGTGTCCTTCCTGTGTGCTTTTACTGTGGATTCTCAGGTCCCGATCTGGCTCCTTCTGTTATGAATTAATTCTCACTATGTTCAGAAGTTTCCTGGTCAATCTGTCTCCAAGTCACAAAGAGTGAACAGTTTTAAATTTATAACAAAGACCCATATCTCCCCATGTTGGTAATAATGTGAACACATGCTTTCACCAATACTGGGTCAGTATTTTGGAGAAGGAGGTGTTTTTTTTTTTTTTTTTTTTTTTTTTTTTTTTTTTTTTTGATTTTTCAAGACAGCGTTTCTCTGTGTAGTTCTGGCTGTCCTGGATCTTGCTCTTAGACCAGAGTAGCCTTGTACTCTCAGAGATCCACAAGGTTCTGCCTCCCAAGTGCATTAAATTAAAAGCATGTATCACGGCCGCCTGGCAGAGAAGATATTTTTGATTGTGCATAAATTCTGATTGCTACTTGCAAATTAAAAATTTGTTTTCTCAGAGGGAGTCTCACTGGGGAAACAGACCACTTTCAAAGAGCCCCATGTCCAGCAGTAGGTGTCCAACACAAAATCAATCCAATGGCATCTTTTGTGGGTTTTTTTTTGATCTTATAATTTTGTCAGGCCATTGCATTTTTTCTACTGTACAGATCCTTTGTGTATATATTATGGCCTCCAGTTTTGCATTTTTATAGAATTCCTGATTGTGTGACTGTCTGTGTCTCTGCATCCCTATTTGTTTCTTGGGCTCTTTTTCTTGTTTGGTTGTTTTGTCCTGTTCTCATTTCTTCATTTTTTAAATTTATCTTATGTACTTTTATTATTAATCCTTAGGAGCTTGTTTGATTTTCAATGAAAGATGGGAGGGTATGTCTCTGGATGAGAGGAGAGGTCGGAAGAACTTGGAGGAGTAGGGGAAGGGGAAACTGTAATCAGAATATATTGTACGAAAAACATCTATTTTCAACAAGAGAAAAATGTATGAAAAAATCTGAAAAAAAATTTCTAAATACAATTCCTGTAGGACAGATAATTTTCTCTCTCATATTCATTTCACATAATTTATATGAAGTCTCAGTTCATGTTAATGGCAGAATTGAGAGTTTGGAATTTTAGAACAAATCCTTAACACAATATTAACAGCCTTTCCATTCTCAATACCCTGCCTGCAGTGCAAGCCTGTCACAGAGCACAGACCTGCACTGACACACCATCACCTCCCACAGCCCATCTCCATGGTGTTCAGCCTGCTTCTATGGAGCACTTGTTTTTGGATAAATTGAGGAACCATGACTGGGATGGGACCTTGCACTAGGGAAATCCCAATGGACTAATATCATAGAGATGTGTCTTCACAGAACATCGATTATTCAGTGCTGAATGTGAGCTCCCTCGGCCAAATACGTGTTAGAAACTTTGCAATCCTATGCTGACTTAAAATTGCTGCTTGCAATTCATTTCACATCTGACCTGCCTCTTCTTATATAGGTGAGCATCTCAAAGTCATGGATGACCTGAGCTTACATTTTTCTGCCAATAAATACATTTTTTCCTTCACTTTTTAGATATTTAATGGGCAGTTTTATAAGTACGTGTAGAGGATTTTCGTTACTTTGACTCTCATTCATCTTTCTCATCCTTTCCTTTCTTCCAAATTCTTTTGTGTTTTGATTATTGATCAAAGAATACTTTTCAGTAGTATTTATATTTATATTTATCTTGATATTTTAAATACTAGAATCAAACTTGGGTTCTAATACGTGTGATGTTAATCATGAATAGTTGTAAAGAATATTTCTACATAGCTGTTAAAATATGTTTAAACATTAATTTACAGAAATAAAAGTAAATATTTTGTAATAAAATTGAGGTATGCAGACAAAAATATACAGCCATAACATTCATAAAGGAGGTCATTTGAGTCACCATCTATGGAAACTGCAGGAATATATTGATATACAGAAAGAGAAATTCCCCAACTCTTATTGGGAGGCAAACAACTAACCACATGAGGTAGATATAGAGGCATGGGTGGTGGTAGGGACATAGATGGACACCCACACAGGTAAAGTGACATACCAGATCTAGTATTCTATAGCACTGAGGATGACTAGAGTCCAAAGGAACTAATTACACATTATGAAAGAACCAAAGGGACGAGATAAAAAAATTGCTTAACATCATTGCTCATTAAATACGTAAATCAAATTATAATTCAAAGCTCATAAATATGGGAACATGTTGCATGACCATTACTGAAAAGATTGTATTTCTCATGGATTGCATATTGCAGTTTGGCGCAGGAGTGGTCTCATGAATCTGAGCTGTGCCTCACTCTATCTTTTGGATCTCACTCTGTGGACCATCTGAACAAGGAAGTGTTTCTGCACTGATTGTGGCATTTGACTCTTGTACTCGTGGGTATCAAACCAGGAAGAAACATTCTGAATAGACAGGATCCAGCCTCTCTTAGAGGTCTATGTCTCCCATTGAATTCAACACTATTTCAGAAAGATTTTATCTACACAATTCTATGTGAGCAAAGAATGACACCGAAATCACCACTTGGGTTATCTTAAGATCATCCCACCAGGAAATCAGCACAGGATAACCTGCTCACAACATGGAGGTCAGGTGTTATAGAGAATCCAGACCTGGGTTGAGTGGGGGACCCCAGTAAGAAAAAGTAATGGACATGAGAAAGCTGCAGCCCAGGACCATGAATCATGACCATTTTGCAACCAAACACCAGAAGTAACCACACTAGGAAGCTAAGAATGTAGAATCATCATGGTCTTATACTCCTTTTAGAGAAAAATCCTGGATGTTTATATATCATAAATACCCCATATTAATAAAAGAAATAATGAGTCTAGGAAATATAACTCTTCTGAACATTTATGCACAAAGTATTGGATCCAGAAATTTATAAAACAAACACTAAAAGGCAAAAGACTTTATACATTCTGACACAATAATAATCTATCACTTCCATATTCCAATTGTTTTTAGTTTGAAAAACTAAAAACAAGTAAACAAAATTCAGAGCTAAAATATACTAAGGATGAACTTGACTCAAAAGATATATACAGAACATTGCACCTAACTGATAGGGAATACACCCTTTTCTCATATAGAATCTTCTCGAAAAATCTCTCACACCATAGGACACAAGGTAAATCTCAAGAAATGCAAAACATTGAGATAACTCCTTGTTTCCTATCAGAGTATAATGCAATAAAATTAGGAATCAACAAGAGAAATGGCAGAAACCAAAAATGTGCTTGAAGAGTAACAACAGACATATTAGTGACGAGTTGATTATTCATGAAATCATAGATGGTATTTTTAAAAGATTCCTCAGGGCAATTATTGCAAATAATGTAAATTAAAAGAAATTCTATCAGACATTTTGAGATTGAGCTAAAGTTGCCCTAAGAGAAATGTTTCCAGCAATAAATACTCATCTAAAAATATATGAGAGATATCATATGTATATAATGATGCACTTCAAGGCTCTTAAAAAACATTTAACCCCAAATACAGTTGATGATAAGAAATAATAAATATATTAATATTTATAAATAAAATATAACTATAAATAATAAATTAATGAAATTTAGAGAAAAAGAACAACACACAAAATCAGCCAAAGAATTGGTTCCTTGAAAAAGTTAATAATGTAGCCAAATTCTGAGCTAAACTGAAAAAAAAGAAGGAGGAAAACCACAAATTGATAAAACTTAGAAGTGAAAATAGCATTATTACAATTAATTTCAATGTAATTCAGAGTATCATTAGAGATTGCTATGTAAAAGTATCATGCCAAAGCTGGCTAACCTAGAAGATCTAAAAGTATTCCTAGTAGCATATTGTCTACATAAATTAAGCTGTGAAGGTATGCATGACTCAGACAGGCCCATTACATGAAATTGAAGCTGTCCTTAAAATACTCCATTTGAAGAAAAGCTCAGGATCATACAGACTCACTGGTGAATTCTATATCAAATTTTAAGTAGGACTTGAAACCAATCTTGACATTCTCCACAGTAGAAAGTAAAGGAACAATGCCAATTTCATTCCATGAAGCCAATATCAGTATAATCTTGATAACAAAGTTGGGTGAAAACACTATTAATAAACAAAATGCAAGAAAAAGAAAAGCAAAGGAAGCCATAGAGAAATTTCTTTAATGAATATAGATGGACAAATTCTTTAAAAAATGCTTGACTTTAATCCAAGCACTTAGGAGGAAGAGATAAGTGGATCTCTCTGAGGTTGAGGCCAGCCTAGTATACAAGGGAATTTACAGGTCTGTCTAGTCCAAGGGGCTGAAAATATTCAAGTTTTTTTTTGTTGGAACTGAAAGACAACCACTCAAAAAGCAAATTTCTTGCAAAGGATTTGTCAGCCCTTCATTCAAGAGCCTCATTTT